AAAATATTGAACCCCTTAAACCCCTTGAACTCCTTGAACCCCTGGAACCCCTTAAACCAATACCTGGAGTAGAGGATGAGAGCTGGCTGGATATTGTCGGATACTCGGTTTCACTCATCTTCTAGAAAACCAAACCAAACATTCTTACAATGCAGTACAGTACATTACAGTACAGTACAGTACAATTACCCAGCTAAAAAAACTTCATGCATATTCAAGAGTATAAGTGTTCGTCTTTAAAATTTCATGTTTATTGGAACACACTGTAATTTGAGTATAATGTTAGGACCTGAAAAATACCATTGTTTCTTGGACACAGTTTTTTTAATTCCGAAAAATGAAAATAAAAAGTTTTGTTTTTGTTTTCCTTTAATTCTCTGACAAGGTTTTCTAATTGTTTCTCCGACTCTTCCATACTTGCTCTTCCATCCTTCCTACCCTCACCAGCTTTATTCATCTTACGCAGAGATACCTGGATATCAGAGATATCAGAGATATAGAGATATCAGAGATATAGACATATCAGAGAGATAGAGATATCAGAGATATAGAGATATCAGAGATATCAGAGATATAGACATATCAGAGATATAGAGATATAAAAGATATAGAGATATCAGAGGTATAGAGATATAAAATATATAGAGATATAAGAGATATCAGAGATATAGAGATATAGAGATATCAGAGATATAGAGATATAGAGATATACAGATATAGAGATATCAGAAATATAGAGATATCAGAGGTATAGAAATATCAGAGATATAGAGATATCAAAGATATGGAGATATCAAAGATATAGAGATATAAGAGATATCAGAGATATAGAAATATAGAGATATCAGAGATATAGAGATATCAGAGGTATAGAGATATCAGAGGTATAGAGATATAGAGAAATACAGATATAGAGATATCAGAAATATAGAGATATCAGAGATATAGAGATATCAAAGATATAGAGATATCAAGATATAGAGATATAAGAGATATTAGGAGATATAGAGATATAGAGATATCAGAGATATAGAGATTACTAGATTTGTGGATGTCATAGATATTACAAGAGAGATATAGAGAAATTAAAATATCTAAGATATGACATATTGCGTCATCGACATCACATCTGTTTTTCATATCAGAAACCTCTTAATTTCTTAACTGAATATGAATTATTTACGAACTTTAAAACAGTTAGAATAAGAAAGCTAGCTAAGTTTGAAATTTAGTAATTTTCTTATTATAAATCATATTTTCCGTCCTGAACAAATATAGTTAGTAAGGATGATTGATGAAATAGTTTAAAACAATATTTCCTGAATTCCCCCCNTAACTGAGATCCCTTTATGTAATTTTACACCTTTATCTTATCAAAGATATCGTTCTTTTCCTAGCTTGAAAAGTGTTTAATTCTGAATTTACTCCCATTTTACCTGCAGAAGAAACCCCAATTGAAAATGATTAATTTTAAAAGAGTCAAACATTGATATATTATTCATTCTTGGTCAAACAAAACATTTAATGATATCGTTGCGGAGCGGATTGGATGAGAGAGTCACTGAAAATGAAAACTTTAAGTCTTATCTTGAGTAAATCTGATCATTGATTTAGACCTGTCGAAAATGAGCAATATAATTTATCGAAAATTCCGATCGAAATTTAATTTGATAAAATTTCTGAAAAGTTTGATAGGATTGCATGTGCAGATTGATAAAAAGTTTGATAGGATTGCATGTGCAGATTGATAAAAAGTTTGATAGGATTGCATGTGCAGATTGATAAAAAAGCTAAAATACTTGTATCCTGAAAAAAAACTTTGATTAATTTTAGAATTATGGATTATTTTGATAAAAACCTTTCTTCTGGGAACAAATCAGAAATAACAAATATGTCAATGTAAAGTATGAACACGTGTTTAAAAGTGAGTTGACCTGCAAGGCTAGGTTTTGAGCATCAGAGAGCTGAAGCGAACTCCTCAAATCTTCTATCACCTCCCTAATCATTAATATTTTTCTAACAGAGATTAAATATTTATATATATATAGAGAGAGAGAGATTTCAGAAAATAAAAAAATATTTAATAATGATCAGTGACTAAAATATTATCAGAGGTTGGAAGTATTAGATTAGAGAGAGCTTATCTGCAACACAATCTTAACGAGTATTTACTG